TATATATATATATATATATATATATATATATATATATATATATATATATATATATATATATATATATAATATATATATATATATATATATATATAATTAGCCTACGACCGTTACTATTATTAACATACTTAAATAGGTCAAATGTTGGTGGAATCGAACATGTGAAATAACTATTCGCAAATGTGTATATATTTTTGGCCTATTAATCTACTTAGCTTTTCAAACTTATCCCTCAGATTTGACACTAATGCCAAGGTCTTAACGATATAAATAGCCGACGCGCTTTGCCTCCCACCACTGCGCACTGCGTGCCGCCGACGACATTCGATATCGATGTTTATTCACAGGTCAAGAGTTTTGGCTCCCCACATTGACAAACATGGCAATCAAATTGCGCACGATCTGAGAACAGTGGTAGTTGTTGTCTAGCCGTCAAATAATAATTGCGCAAACAATATGCGCGCAAAACAATATGTGTGCCAAAGAATTTCATAGCCCGCATTCTATTCATTCCACCCTTGACGTCTAATCGATCAGAATTTTACATATCCGAGGTTTAAACAATTGTCTTGCCAACAGCAATTGCCAGTTATCGCCATCATTATTGATACAAATTATTGCATTCATGTAAATAAATTGGTCATGAAATGATCGTATTTTCTTGTTTGCACCTAATTTGCATGAAACACGGCGAATTACTTTGCTTTTAAAACCCAGAATGTAGAGTTTGTCAGAGTCACCCCTGAGATTTTTTACGAAAAACTTTTAGCGCTCTGGAAAGTACTTGATATAAACATTCTTCGGATTCTACATGCCCCCAGCTTCAACCCCTAGCTTCAACCCCCTAGCTAACTCGTGCCTGCGGTCTCTGCTCACACCTTCGGCGACCGAATACTATGCTGGGGGAGGGCAAGGAAAATGAGCCCTTTGGCAGTTTTGCCCCACCACTGAAGAATCCTTAAAAAATGCACTGTGGCCTAATTTCTAAAGCTTTCGAGTTTCGACTCGATCAGATTGAGCTGCGTTCTTTGCAAATCAGTTATCATGATTAGCACACCCCACTTTCATAAACCTGCTAATCATATTATATAAATAAAAAATAGAAAAAAATGTATATGTTTGTAAACAAAGAGTGTTAATAATGTATAATCCGCTTAAAGTTATATCTTAACTCTTGATCGTCTTCTACAAATGAGCTTACGTGTGCTATGTTTAACATTGTTTTTACGACCTAGCAACAGACTGCAAGTTAACTTAGTCTTTAGTAGAGAGTTCTGAAGAGGTGAAATGAAATTCGCCAAGTTTCGGACTGGAAAAATAGGATTAGGTTACTGAGAATCTGAATGACAAGACGCAAAAATGGAATGGGAAAACCCATATACCATAATAAATACAGAGTTATGTAACTTTAATGTCCACTCCATAACAAAGGGGGACCCAGCAGATATAAACATTGCCCAAATTTTGCATCTTTCGAACTTTTTTGAATTGAAACGTATAGTTTATATTCATTTACAAGTATAGCGAACCAGAAAAGTGTTAGATATTCAGTTAGTATATCATATTTTACAACTATAGCAGTTCAAAACGTAAACAAAGTTCGCGCATGTGCACAGGAGTGGACATCATCTTTAAGAAAAGCTATGGAGCAACTTTCGATTGAATATTTGTCTAAAAAGTTCCGGAAAGTCTGCATTCTGCCTCTTCCTGCTTAATGAGGTCATTTTTCTGCTATTCTAACGTTGCATTTAATTAGTATATTTTTAATTAAAAATTAGTGTCTTAATTTAGTGTATTTTTTACGTTCTGAGCTCTTTTTTAATTTCTCTTTGCACTGGTGTTGATGTATAAGTTGCTAAATATAATCTACCAATTTTCGTTTATCTTCATTAATACATCTTAAGAAAAATTTCTGGAATGCGAGGCACGTAAATGTAATGTCTAAGAAAAGATTACCAGATACGTGATAAGTGATATCTTATTTCTAATTTTAGAAAAGTCTAGACTTCATTTTAAAAATTTCTATTACAGGATGAGTGAAACACTGAACAATTCGTGTTTTCCGTTTCATGCATAGTTGTTATACTTCCGTTTCTCAGATTCTCATAATGATGGTAGTGGCATATTAAAAAATCAAAATTACCGTAATGTTTTTAACGTTTTCACAAAATGGTGCCGTCTGATGGTGTTTTGTCTTTCTTGTTGTTATTGGCGTTGCCTGTTGTTTTTTGTTATTCTTTATGCTGTTGTTATGGTTGCTGTTGTTGTTGCTGTAGCCGTTGTTGTTGTTGTTGTCGTTGCTGCTGTTGTGGTTGCTGCTGCAGCTGTTGTTGTCGTTGTTTTTGCATGTCGTTGCCGTTGTCGTTGTTGGATGTTGTTGTTGTTGTCGTTGTAGCTGCTATTGTTGCTGCTCCATGCTGTTGTTGTTGTCGTTGTCCTTGTCGATGTCGCTGTTGTTGTTGCTGCTGTTGTTGTCGCTGCTGTTGTTGTTGTTGCTGAGATTGCTGCTACTACTGTTGTCGCAAGTTGAATGTTGTTTTACGTTGTTTTTGATGTCGTTCTGTTGTAATATTTTTGTCGGTGTGTGTTTTGGTTGCACGTTGCTCTTTCTTGTTTTCATAAAATTCTCGTCTTATTCTTAAAGAGCTTCGTTAATACTTAATTAACATCTTATATTTTATAAGAATGACAGACTATGGAGAAATATGAAGTCTCTAACAACAATCTTTTCTTCAGGTGATCATGGTTCACCCGACCCATGGCCTCACCCAAACAGCATCGGTCCAACAGCAACGACGTATAACCCGACCAGTGGTCTGGCGCCTCCTTATGGACTTTATAGTCACCATGGTCCACATCACGAACCCATTGTAAGTAACTTGGATTAGGACCTCTCCATATGAGCCCTGCTATAACGAGAAAACTCAACTGAGTGAGATCTACATGCTCTTTTCGCCCAATGTAAGGTAATCCAGCAATCCGGAATCCCACTTTTAATAACTTTGCAATCCGGAATCCAGACAGTGGAATCCAGGAGGAGTCCTTATCTTGGACCAATTTTCTGGAATCCGGAATCCACAACCGATCTGGAATCCTGAATCCAAGGAGCGGAATCCGGAATCCAAGGAGTGGAATCCAGAATCCAAGGAGTGCATGGATTACCTTACATGGGCCGACTCTTTGTTAACGCATATAAAATTCAATTGTGTTCATATGAGAACATAATGTCGTTCCACCGAGGCGGGATATTAGGTGGGAGTAAAACACTCATATTAACACGGAAATAATTCATCCTACTCATGTGAGCCTCCCGACAAACCGAGCTCATACGAACAGGCCCTTAGGATGTGTTTGTATTTAGAGGAGCTTGTTGTATGTTACGTAACACGCGCTCAAAACTAAAGGAGTATAATATTTCACTTGGTTATGACTACAGTCAATTTTTTTAATTTCATATTCGTTTCTCAATTTGTAAGCAGGTTTCATGTTTTAGGCAAAAGTATGCAATTACAGTAGCCTTTTGCTTTGACCTGAATAAATTGAAATCTTACAAGATATGTTCCCAACTTTTCTAGACGTACATGGGTAGAGAAGCTTACGAAAGGATGACCACATTGCCACCAATGTCCTCGTTTCATCAAGAAGCTATGCAGAACCAGCGGTATCATCATGCGTCCCCAGTCTCTTCGCCGTTAACCAGTAACGATCCATCCGTCCTAGGTAAGATTTTACTGTATGCTCGTTCAAGATTTTGAGCTGGAATAGTATTAACATTATTACTTGTACGAAGTTTATACTCACAGAACTGCTCAGCAGTTAAAGAAATGCATTAACTCATTACGGTTGTATTCTGTTTTGCAGCTCAAGTCAGTCGAAGTGGCTCAGGTTCACAAGCGATTGGAAAAGCCTTAGCTTCGGTATACTCATCATTTTTTTAATTAAAGCGCCAATTTTAATGAAAGGATTTAAAGCCCAGATCAAGCGAAGATGAGAGCGCATGAGATCTGGCAGTCTTGGTTAGCTGTTCCCAACATTATCATGTATTCTAATTTACCTTGTTAATCTAGAGCCCGAAATGACCCTGTAGTAATTCGTGACTACATCCAGAAACGTACTTTAATAAGTTAAAATTAAGGATTAAATTTGTAAAAATACATCGTGAAAAATTTTGTGTATTTATTTTCGTATACATACCTGCGAACAGGCTATACTTGAGCGCCCGAAAATTGGCTTCACCCAAACATAGGCCTTTATCATAGGAGTTATCGTTCCAGTTTACTTATATATAGTTCAATGCTGCCAACTCTCATCATCTCTCATTATATAATAACTACAGTGAAACACGCAATTTGATTGGTCAAAAGCCGTGCAGGATCAGGCTATCCTGCACGAGGAATTAAAATGCCTTCGCGGGATTCTCAAAATGTCATTGTTATTTTATAAAACGATTACCAAATAGTTTTCCAAGCAGGATTGCGTGATCCATGCACTTTGGGATGTTGCTCGACTTTCGGAAAGCGTAAAAATATTTTTACGTTTTCCGAAAGTCTCGCGACATCCCTCGTGCATGGATCACGCAATCCTGCACGGAAAATCATTCGGTATTCCCTTATTCTCGTCTTTCCGGAGCTAAAGGAATATCAATCCATAACATATTTGGAACTTCGCATGTCGAAGTCGTCAGAGCCTTTTACCTCTGAGTTCGTGGGTTCGATTCTCGCTATGGACTCATGTGAAAAGAGTCAGTCAACGCTCTGCCGAAAGTCGTGGGTTTTCTCCGGGTGTTCCTGTTTCCTCCCACAGGGAAAGTTGACAGGGTCGGTTTAGGATAAACACAGTTAAGAAAGTAATATCACAATTGGGCTAGTATTCCAAAGGTCGTAGATTCGATTCCCACCGTGGCCAGGCATATTTTCAAGCCTGCCCGGTGTGGATATACACTCAGAGTAACATCACACAAGCATAATATCACAATTATTGTAAAGATAAAATAGTCTAGGCTAAATATGTAATTAGGTAAGCGTAATATAATGTACAAGACAAGATTTATTTGCTCCTTTCAAATTACAATGATATATACACAAAGAAATTATTTATATTTGTTAGCATTATTATTTGTAAAATATATTTTGTGTTCTGTCGCTAATTGTTTTCTAATTTTTGAGAAGATTTGAAAGGGAGCTGGCTCCCTGAAATAACCACAGGGCTATATAAGCATCAGGGAATGTTTCATGTAAAGCACATTTGATCATACCCATTGTAAATTTGCGCTATTAAATGCTATTAAAATCGTTATTGTAATATTTCTAAATTATTTATGACGTTTGTTTCAGATTTACTCTGATTCCACAACCAATTATTCTTCGAACCCTCCGACTCCAATTGCTTCACCTCCGCCGTTGACGAGTATAAATGACCGCCCCTTATCGGCTGGCTCTTCAAGCTCGGCACCAGGTTCCTGGCCGCGTCCGAATCTTCAGGCGATGCCGTCACCCCCCGGTCCATACGAAAGCCATCTGCATTCGCTGGTAAGTGTCTGCTAACGGACAGGTGAACCGCACCATAGTTATATAGCCTTAGCCTCTTCTTCTTTTTAAAAAATAATTTGTAAAATCAATGTTAGCCCCCTGATAAGCCTGGGCTTTTGAGGCAAACATCTTAATAAAACAAGTATTATTGCGCATAGCAGTATGCAACTGGTTTTTAATACATTGTCTATTTAGTTATAACGATCGATATTTTCTATCATATGAGGATTTAAGAATTTAAATACTATTTAAAATATGAGCAGCAGTGTTTTATCAGATATAAAGCCGAGTGTATCTTTAGGTCTGATAAAACACGCATTGCGAATGTTTTAAATTGCTTCAAAAACGATCGATCGATCTAGTAAGTTCATTGGCGAAGTAATTTTCAAAAAAATACGTTGTGTAAGTCGAGAAAATCAAAGTTAAAGTTCATGTAAATCAAGGGAAATCTCTATCACATACAGGGTGTCCCAAAAAAAGAGAAAACTATTGAAATAACGTATTGTTAGAATTTGAATGCCTCAGCACTCTGCTGAACTCACACGTGCATCAAAGCTTGACATAAGTAAATTTTATGCATAAAAACCGTTTAAGAAGCTGCTTTAAATTCCCAAGAGCAGAAAATCGTGCGCTTTACAAAGATATTTTAATTTCTTAATAAATCAATGGTTAATATATACACCCTTGTCAATATTTTACGCATCTTTGCATTCAGCTTAGTGCTAGGGCATCCAAATTTTAACAATACGTTATTTCAATGGTTTTGCGTTTTTTGGGGGACACCCTGTATATAACGATACGACACGCTTATGATTTTTCTTTGTGTTTTCCTCATGAAAGATTTTAAAATGAGTTTTTGAAGAAAGAATAAACGAAATAGAACTCTTTTTCCAGCAGAGCCGTATGGAAGAACGGCTTGATGACGCGATCTATGTACTACGTAATCACGCTGAAGGTCAATTCCCTCGAGAGTTCCATGCTCAAATGGGAGCCCCAGTTGGAGTGCCTGGTTACCCGGCTGGTTCGGTTCCAAGTTCTTTGACTGGTAACGCGTCCTCAGTGGTTGACTCAGTGGTGAGTGCTCAATGTTAAATGTGGCTATGTTCATGGGCGTACCGGAAGGAAAAATTTAGGGGAGCGGAAAGAAAATTGCCCGACTTTTCGTGATTGTGCCCGACTGGTACCGAAAATTTTTTGTCCGGAAAAAATTATTTTGGCGACCCCCCCCCCGTCGCCAAAAAAATTTCGGTCAGTGTACCATTTTAGTGGTCAAAAAAATTTTCCGGACATACCAAAATTTTTCGTACCATCATACAAATTTTCCCAAAAAAATACATTTGCCACAAAATTGACAAAATTTGTCCCATTTATTTTTATAACAAACCAAATTGCCCGACTGCCCAAAAAACTGGAGGGGCTACCGCCCCCCCCCACGGTACGCCTATGGCTATGTTTCCATGAAGTACATTTAGGGTTGGAAGAGCTCCATGATATTTAATGCACATCTTTAACACAGCCATCATTTAAGCAATCAGGGAGCAATCGTTAAGAGTTAATACGGGGTTCCAGTGTAGATATTAAGAGGCAATTTTTTTCAACGTCGCGTATTTGCCATGAAAAGTGTTCAAAACCTAAAATCTTTTTGGCATTCTTCTCAAAATTACTTTGTTTTAGCTTTATTTTGTAGTTAAGGCAGTTAGCTACCTTTTTGAATGTATCTGGCGGTTGAGAAACACCAAGTAATAGTTAAATATTGTCAATTTAAATACAATTGTCATCGATGCTGTAAAATTGACGCCATATTTATACAGCGATATAAGCAAAACTTACTGAACTTCAGACATCATTTTCTTTTCATTTTCATCTAAAATCACTTCATTTTAGTATCATTCTACAGATAAAGCACTAAACATACTTTTTAAGTTTGTTTGCAGCTTGAGAAACGCATAAAAATTTTTAAAAAATTGAATGTAGTCATAACCAAGTGGAAAATTAGTTTTGAGCGCGTGTTACGTAACATACAAAAGATTCTCCTCTTAATTTTAATAGCAAGTTTTCTTAGTTTTTGTTGTAACTATGCAAATACGATTGAAATGAATATGTAATTTACACCAATGCAATGTAACAATGTTAATTATTGCATCTGTCATTTTAGTCTAATTCCACAGCCGATAGACACGTAACAACGTCATCTAGTGCTAATAGGAATCCTAGGATACCGGAGTCTGGTAAGTATCAATCTTTTTTTACAAACTGTTTTATTTTCTGAATACTTAATGCAAAATCATGGAACGAATTACCCAGTGAAATAACTGATAATCACCAACAATAGGCAATTCCCATTATAGACTATTTTTTATCTTGGCAAGTATATTCCCGGAAAGAGCATACCGGTACTAAAATTAGTAAAATTGCAAAGTTTGGTTGCAAAATGTTGTAAAATGCGGAAAATATAGCCTTGCAAAGTTCGCGAATTTTGTATACAGTACTTAATTTGTATTGTGTGCGGAAGTTGCTACCAATTTGCATGGGTGGAAAATGGTAGCAATTTCCGCACGTAATAAAAATGTTAGTCTCCTACGCAGCCTGTTCGCGGGTCCGAGGTTTTCTCCCCTCCTACGCAGCCTGTTCGCGGATCCGAGGTTTTCTCCCCAGAGGAGAAAACCTCGGACCCGCGAACAGGCTGCGTAGGAGAATATAAAAAAGTGTACAAAATTTGCAAACTTTGCAAGGCTATATATCTTCCACATTTTACAAAATTTCGCAACCAAACCTTGCAATTTTACTAATTTTAGTTAGCTCTTTCTAATTCACTAACTTTAGTTAGCTCTTCCAAGTTTTAAAATTAGTCTATAATTATAATGGAAATTGTCTGTTATCAGAATCTCTTTTAAGCGACGATTATATGTTACAAGTTGATATATCTGTTTAAGATTTCGATCGCATGTACATATAGCTCCGTCAATGGCACTGCAATTCATTTACTATAGTTGATAATTGTTTATGTTTTGTATTATATTCTGTACACGGCCCTTTGAAAATCAGTATTGTATATATCTATTTATCACTGAATATGCCACCGTGTGTGGAGAATTTTAATTTGAATAAACAATAAACTTGATTGCGTTCATTTACTTCGTTTGGGCACCGCAATTTGTTCGAGGATTGTTTATATTTGTTTTCCCGACCAGAGTAGCAAACAAATATACCTGATATTGTACCTGGATACCGTAAACTCACAAATTTTGAATTATTTCATAGTTGTCAGCCATGTTCTTATATTTTCATATTCCTTACTACGCAAACTAATGTAACTTTGCTCTTCAGGTGGATCAAAAAATCCCAAGAAGCAAACCTCTGTTTCTACTGCTGGTTCTACTACTAGCAATGCTTTGACGTCCGCGGTCAGCCAGCTAGAGGACGAGCTCAGTGAAGGGAGTGGGGATGAGTTTGGGGATGATAATTTCGAAGAAGGCCATACTGGTGGAAAACAAGTACGAGAGACTGAGCGGAGATATGCTAATAATGCTAGAGAAAGGTGAGTTTGATACCTTGTAGACATACCTTTTCAATAATTACATCATATTCTCTTCTCTCCCCGCGAGGCTCATTCTCATGCTTGCTGAACATTCCGTCTTGATTTTGACTTTCACGAGCCAATCAGATGCGTTTAATCTACCCGATTATCCAATGGGAAATGTAACGGTTGTGGTAGTGGAAGTCAAATATACCGCACAATGACGTCACAGCCGTCGAATTGGAGGATTTGAAATGACATCTCATACGAATAAATCACTAGTTGAAGTGAGGTGAATTCTAGAGCTGTGCGGTTAACCGAAAATTCGGTTCTTCCGGTACTTTTTTCAGCACCGAAAAACTATACGCAAAAAACTGGTAGTTTCGGTTTTAATTTCCCGTTTAACGCCCACCTGATTGCAGGTTGAATTGTTTGGAAAATAACAAGATTGTGCTCTTTGTGCACAATATGCACTGTACTAAGTGCTCAAATAGTTGATATTTTAGTTGTGATAGTTATTTTTGTGA